CTTTAACCTTCCCTCTAACTGCCTAAAAAAGAATTTAGATAGAGGACCTGCTCCCTTAAGAGACCTATCACCAGAGATGGCCACACTATAATGTGAACTAGTAGCAGTAGACAGGGAGGAATTTAGCAAAGTCTGTTTGTTAAAATTCTTGCCTATATCCCATTGTTTCTGAACAGTCCAGCAAACATTTGTTTACAAAACATTTACTCTTTTGTATCTTTCTGTGAATTGCTTTTCTTCCCTGTGAAGTTCCAGACCCCTATCTCCTCAAGTCAGGATGACATATATTACTCATTTTGCCTGAGGGTCTTTGGAGTCTCGTCTTTATGCAAATTCTCCACACATATGAAATTACATTTGATTTTCTCCTGTTGATCTGTCTCGTGCCAATTTAATTGAGTCCAGCTATCAGAATCTTGAAGGATGGAGGAAAATTTTTTTTTCTCCAAGAATTGGACAATCATCCATCAAACAGAAACAACCGGATGTTTGGGAGTCACCGTTTATTCTGCGCTCTCTCTCACCATCAGCATACAAACAGCCACAGAGTTCTGTCAATTTTGTTTGCTTTAAAAAAAAAACTCTCCAAACCATCTTCCATTTTCCATTCTTACTAGCTTTATGTAGAGTCATATAAATTTGCAGCAATCAAAGGTAATAATGCCAAGTCACTAGACAAATTTATTATGGAACAGAATACAGGTCAAGACCAGATGATGTATATATGAAAACTTACCACAACAACATGGGAATCTTACCATAATCAAGGTGGCATTGCAAGTAGATGAGGAAAATATGGCTATTTCAGTATATGGTGATGGGACCAGGGGTTATCCATTCAGAAAAAAAATAAAGTTATAATCCTTTATGGCATAAGCATAATCACACTTACAGATGGATTTAAAACTTAAATGTAAAAAACAGAACTATGGAAGTATTAAAAGAAAAAATAGGAGATTATAAGACCTTGGATTAAAGACCTCTTCAACAGAGGAGATAAGGAAAATACAGTATGCAAATCATCGAACACAAAGCAGTAGAGGCTTCTATACTCCCTCTGTGGTAGAAACAAGAGTGATCGTGAAAACTGTAAGCAAGCTTTCCCAATGCATTGCTTTTCTTTGCTCCATTTCTCTTTCCATACCCATCCTATTAAGCTATTTTATAACCTTGCTCTTATTCTTTGAACTTCCTCATCTATATCATCATCATCTTGATTTTCAAGTCTAAATGCTCCAAACTGTGTCAGCCATCGCCCACGGAGCCTCCCTACCTCTTTGTCCAGCAAATGCAAAAACACACAAGTGAATTAGAGTTATCCTATGTAGCACTCACTGTATTTCACGCTTTGTACCAAGCACCTTACATACTTCATTTTTAATCTTCAAGACAACTTTCAAGGGAGTTTTTGTTACAACCATTTGGTATATTTGCTTCAATCTCAGTCTCTTTCTCTTAGGAAAACCACTTTTTTTCTTTTTTAAAACTTAAATTCAATTAATCAACATATAATATATTATTAGCTTCAGAGACAGAGTTCGGTGATTTCACCAGTCTTATATAACACCCAGTGCTCATTACATCACGTGCTCTAATGTCCATCACCCAGTTACCCATCCCCTATCCACCCGCCTTCCAGCAGCCCTCACTTTGTTTCCTATGATTAAGAGTCTCTTATGATTCGTCTCCCTTTCTGATTTCATCTTGGAGAGCCACTTTTCTAAAAAGCTGATATGTATTTACCTTAAATAACTTACATATAAAAGAAAGAACAAGGATGGAATGAAAACAAATGACTGTACAATTTCACCACCAGACAGAAAGCATTAACATTAGGTAAACATGATTCCAGACATCTTTCTAAGAATGTATTATGATAGATGGTTTGGTGGACAGAGAGAAAGAAAAAGAGAAATGAGAGAAGTATTTTCCTAAAAATGTGAATCATATATACTGTTATTTTTATTTAAAATTATTATTAAATTTAATTGTAATTGGTATCAACAGAAGGAAAATAACTTGAAGATATAATTGTTAAGCTTTATATAACCATAAGATATTGTGTGAGAAAAAGCAGACAACTCACTCTCCTCTATTTTCTTAAAAAAGAGCATTTTAGTGTTTTCACATTCTCTCCTTCTATCGTCCCTTCCCTTCCTCCCATCATCCTCTTTCTTCTCCTAATTGTTATTCTTACAATAACCAGGTTTGTAACATGTATAGTCTCTCTGCAATCATTGTTTCTATCATTGTTTATAATTCATCCTATAGACGAATTTATCATAGAACAATTACTCTGGAACATTCCTTATAAGACTTGACACTGTTTGTAAGTTGTGTATGTGTGAGTATTTGATTAGTGCATTTTTTTCTCCGCAAAGACTTAAGTCCCATCAAGTCAGGGACTACTGTCACACCACACCTCGTGCAATGCCTGACACCGAAAAAGTATTCAATATATATATTTGTTGAAGAAGCAAATGTGTTAAGGGTCCCATGGAATGAGCATATAGTACAATAATAATGGTGATTCAAAAAAGGGTGAGGTACTCAAGAAAAACTTTATAGAAGATGAAATCTTTGAGGACCATTGGATTGTGCTAGATGACAGTGTCACAGGTTAATTTGTATTTTTATTTTAGTGGTGGAATGGAGTAGGAATCAGCAGGAGATTGGCCCAACGAGATAGGGTGCGTGACATAATTTTATACATTATGGGCTTTACACACAGAAAACTATCTTGAAGAATAATACCTAAATGTTTACTGTAGTTAGCTGAGGGTAAATGGATTCCAAATAACTTCTCTTCTTCTATCTCTAAAATCTGTCTCTTAAACAATAAACACATACCACTTTTATCATTAGATAAAAAATAATAAAGCAATTTTCACTGTGGAAAAATGCATATCCATAACAATTAATATCTATGGAGGGCTTACTTTGTGCCAAAAATGCTCTAAATACCTAAACAGTATCAATTCATTTCATATTTGAAACAAAACGGTGAGGTAAGATTTATTGCTGTGCTCATTTATGGATGAAGACAATTAGAACCAAGAGAGGTTAAATACTTTGCTCAAGGTCATATAGCTATTAAGGAGAGGAACTAGCATTTGAAACCAAGCTGTGTAGCGCCAGAGTAAACTACCTCTCAGAGCAGAGCAACATTTTGATAATCTGAACTCTCTTCGTACTGTTTTCAATTAGAAGAAATCCAGGCAGTGTTACTGACAGGCACAGACAGCCTCCATTGGGCAATCTCCTCATTTTCCGCTCATCCACTTTAAAACACGAAGACCTTCGAGCTCATTCATTTGATTCTCCCTACCAACAACAGGCCACATGAATAGCTAGGAACATGGCATTTAAAATCCTTTAAGATGCTGTCTCCTGAACAAGTTGCGTATGAAATCAAATCCCTTTATTTTTTCTCCATCCTCTCTTCTTAGACTAAATCAATGGATAATTCATCACCTTTCCTCAACGGGCCGTTTCTAATACCTTCCATTTGATTGGCATTTCTTATCCTAATATAAATGTCATGCCTCATCAGGGTCACATAGTGAAAGGTGCTGTGCTCTGCTTGCCGGAGTTTTCAAGGGCGTTTGGTGACTGCTGTCGTGTACAGCTGATGTATCATTCTGCACTGACTTAACTAAACAAAGAGCAGGAACTGCAGGTTATTCTTACCCTCTAGGCAAAGTCCATGCCTTAACGTAGGACGGAAACCAAACACACTCGTGAATCAACCTAATAAATACACATCTTGCCTTGTGACTTCTGGGCCTTTTTAGTTTCCTTTTTTGCTCAACTCAGAAAGATGCAGAGAAGCAGGTTTTGAGTAAAACCTTCTTTCTCCAAAGAAGTTCTTTATTCTACTATTAAGAAATTGGATAAGTCAGATAGAGCCCATGTTTAATCATGACTCCTTAATAACTAGGCTATTGCAAATACATGTGTGTGTAGAACCCAGTCTTTTTTCATGTACGAAATTTATGTTTTCCATGAATTTTCTATATTATATCTTACAGTGATTAAGTGTGTGAGTTGGTTGCATGACCCTAAGATTTTTTCGATACTTTAAAACATACCGTTATGTCCCTGCCCACAGCATATTCTTGCATAGTAGTTCTACTCAGTTCATGGAGATGTTTTTGAGCCATCTCCTGATAGCATAGTAGAATTTTTACAACCAACTCAGTTCACTGAAACAATGTAGATAGGTGACCTAGAAAACAGAAGTGAAATATTCAATTTGGGGTCTAGAATCATTTAATTCATCTAACCATATAATTATCAACTCTCTGTCTCATTCTGTATTGTGTGACTGACTCCTCCTTAACGCATAAACCTCAGGAAAAGGACCAATAAAATCTAAGATGAAACACCACTTTTTCTCATTTATGCTTTTATTACGTGAGTCATCTTTTTCGTAATCATTACTTGGCCTTGGCCTACGTTATTTAAGTTCCTCCTTCTTTTAACTAATCTCATTTGCTTCCATCTATGCTGAACTGCATTGTTTTCTCCTGAGACACAGTGAAAAGAAAATTGTTGTGCTTTTATCTACTCATGTTCCTTCTCTAATCCAGCAGGGAGCTCAGTACTCAATACAGCGTTTTACTATCACACGATTTCATCGTCATCCATCACCATCTATAATTTTTCCTGAGAAACCACTCTGCTTTTCTGTAATTTCTGACGCTTCTGCAATGATCACAGACAATAAAATAACAAAATAAAAGAGGAAAGAGCAATTTTAAAAACAAGAGCAATAAATGGATAACATTCTCTGCTCTCTTTTGACACAAATAAATTCAGTCCACTGACATCTGATGTATTCACTCATATATGCCCACATTTCACTTATTCATGTTCCCCAAGTCTCTTCACTCTGGGAAAAAAAACAAAACTGTTGAGGTGTCTTGCACCCTCCCTTGCTAAGCCCTGATGCTTGCTTCCGCACTGAGGTATGATGAGTGTTCTTTAAAGTGAATCTGGTGCTTGCTTCAGCAGCACATATACTAAAATTGTAACTACAGCAAAGATTAGCATGGCCCCCGTGCAAGGACGACAAGCAAATTCGTGAAGCGTTCCATATTAAAAAAAAAAAAAAAAAAGGAAAAAAGAATAAGGGGAATCTATGTGGCAGAAAGGGACAGCAGAAAAACAGTTTGGATAGGCCCAGTTATAGGTCTCTTCACCTGGCTTTGCAAATATAAACTTGCACTGAAAGAGACTAGAAGGAAAGCTTAGTCTTTTTTCTTGAACATCAGGAAAGAAGACATATTAAGATTCTCCTATAATTTTCTTATCAATTGTTCCATATCTCAAAAAAATACATGAACTGTTTGTGTAAATACAAGAATATACCTAAAATTTAGAAAATCTAATTGAGCTTGAGAAGAAAAACTACATTAGAATACCACTGTGTCAGGGCGCCTAGGTGGCTCAGTCATTGGGTGTCTGCCTTCAGCTCAGGTCGTGATCTCAGGGTCCTGGAATCGAGCCCTGCGTCGGGCTCCCTGCTCCGTGGGAAGCTGGCTTCTCCCTCTCCCCCTCCCCCTGCTTGTGTTCCCTCTCTCGCTGTGTCTCTCTCTGTCAAATGAATAAATAAAATCTTAAAAAAAAAAAAAAAGAATACCACCATGTCTTGATAGATCCCAAATTTCCAACATCTGGAGAATTTCAGCACCTCACTGCTTATTTAATTTACCAGCATGGTTTTCCCAACCTTTTGCTTCTAAAAATGCTGTAGTTTGTTTTGGCAAATGAAAGATCATTTTGATAACTTCAGAGTACCCCTGAAGCAGATTCCTCCTTCGCTTTCTTCTTCGAAGCATCATATAACAAGTCAGTAAGCCACACTTCAGGTACAATCCTGGGTGCATACTACTTCATTACCTTTAATTTTCAAAAGTTCTGCACAGTTAAGGATTATTCATTTTCTTCATTTGCTGAAGAATGAAATTCAGTGTGGGAGAGGTTACATAGCTCTCCAGCTCCTGGCAGGTAGTAAATAATACAGCTAGTATTCAGAATCAGGTCTGACTGGCCGCAAATTTGCGGTCTTTCATTCTACAACTCTGGGGTGTATCAGTAGGCTTAACCCTAATCATAGAGGCCTACCCAGGCAGTAGAGGGCTATAGCACACAGCTGGTTATAGGTGGGACTTGATAAAGGACATTTTCAATGTTCGATGTTTGTGGACCCTGCTCCTGGGCTCCCAGGGAAGCTACACTTGAACATTTACCATGGTCAGAATGACTTAACCAAACTTCAAAGTATGGGCTCTGTTTCTGCCCTGAACGCACAGTGTACATCTGCTTTGTTAGCCAATAACCTAAAAGGAACATTTCAAACTGAAGAGTAAAAATTTCCCTAAGTTCCATTCCCATACTTCCAAAGCCTGCAAGCTTGCACATAATAAAAGCATAAGATAAAGTTTGTAATTTTCTGAGCTATCCTTCATCATGATGATTTGTAATTCCTGATGTAACAAAACCATATATAACCCCATATTAAACATTCCTTCTCTGGAGCACTCTCTTCTTCCTGAAGGTTGTGTATCTACCAGGCAGCTGTCCTAACTGGGGCTCAAATAAAACTCTCTCTCTTTTTTTTTTTTTCCAGAAATTCTAAAAGGTTTGAGTTCGAGAAGTTCTTTTTGATCTTGGATACAAGCCCTTTATCTGTAGTCTCATTTGCAAATATCTTCTCCCATTCTATGTGTTGCCTCTTTGTTTTGTTGACTGTTTCCTTTCCTGTGCAGAAGGTTTTTAGCTTGATGAAGTCCCAATAGTTCATTTTTGCTTTTGTTTCACTAGCCTGTGGAGATGTATCTTGAAATACATCGGCTGTGGCCGATGTTGAAGAGGTTACTGCCTATGTTCTCCTCTAGGATTTTGATGGATTCCTGTCCCACATTGAGGTCTTTCAGCCACTTTGAGTTTATCTTTGTGAATGGTGGTGTGCTCGCTTCGGCAGCACATATATCTTTGTGAATGGTGTTAGAGAATGGTCGAGTTTCATTCTTCTGTATGTAGCTGTCCAATTTTCCCAGCACCATTTATTGAAGAGACTGTCTTTTTTCCATTGCATGTTTTTTCCTGCTTTGTCAAAGATTATTTGACCATAGAGTTGAGGGTCCATATCTGGGCTCTCTATTCTGTTCCATGGATCTATATGTCTGTTTTTGTGCCAGTACCATGCTGTCTTGGTGATCACTGCTTTGTAATATAGCTTGAAATAAGGCAATGCGATGCCCCCCAGGTTTGTTTTTCTTTTTCAACATTTCCTTTTCTGATTCCATACAAATTTTAGGATTGTTTGTTCCAGCACTTTGAAAAAAGTCATTGGAATTTTGATCGGGATGGCACTGAAGGTATAGATTGCTCTGGGTAGCATAGACATTTTAATAATGTTTATTCTTCCGATCCATGAGCATGGAATATTCTTCCATCTTTTTGTGTCTTCTTCAATTTCTTTCATGAGTTCTGTAGTTCCTAGAGTATAGATATTTTACCTTTGGTTAGGTTTATTCCAAGGTATCTTATGGTTTTTGGTGCTATTATAAATGGAATCATTTCTTTAATTTCTTTTTCTACAGTTGCATTATTAGTGTATAAGAAAGCAACTGATTTCTGTGCATTGATTTTGAATACCCAACTTTTACGTCAACATGGATGGGACTGGAGGAGATTATGCTAAGTGAAATAAGTCAAGCAGAGAAAGTCAATTATCATATGGTTTCACTTATTTGTGGAACATAAGGAATAGCATGGAGGACATTAGGAGAAGGAAGGGAAAAATGAAGGGGGGGAAATTGGAGGGAGAGATGAACCATGAGAGACTATGGACTCTGAGAAACAAACTGAGGGTTTTAGAGGGGAGGGGAGTGGGGGGATGGGTTAGCCTGGTGGTGGGTATTGAGGAGGGCACATTCTGCATGGAGCACTGGGTGTCATATGAAAACAATGAATCATGGAACACCACATCAAAAACTAATGATGTATTATATGGTGACTAACATAACATAATAAAATTAAATTTAAAAAAAGAAATTCTAAAATGTTTATTCACTTTGCATCAACAGGTGAGGGAATATTCCAGAATGAAGGTTAAGCATTCCATGCAATAAGAGAAGTTATGACTTCTGCAATACCAGTTATATACTACAGTTGTCCTAAATGTGCCCAAAATGGAATTTGCAATCTGGCTATTTGCTGTGACAGTACTATAGGCCTGAGCTGATTAGCACAGACACTTTTACTTTGGAAGGTGAGCTAGGAAGGGGATTTATACCTCGATTTGCAGTTGTCGTTTTGTGAGAGGAACAAAAAACAAGAGAATAGTGGGTGCTGTGGACTGAATTGTATACCCCTAAATTTACAGGTTGAAACCTTATCCCCCAACAGTACCATATTTGGAGAGAGTGCCTTTAGGAGGATATTAAGGTTACTTGTGGTCATAAGGATCTGGTGCCCTTATAAGAAGAGGACAAGACATCAGAGCTCTGTCTCTTGGCCACATGAGGAGGACACAGCAGCAAGGCAGCTATCGAAAAGCCAGGAAGAGATCTCACCAAAAACTCAACCATGATCTCAGACTTCCGGTCTCCAGAACAGTGAGAAAATAAATTTCTGTCATTTAAGCCACCCAGTCTATGTGACCGTGTTATGGTAGTCCGAGCTAATACAATGGGGCTTTGGGGAATGTCATGGTGTCCGTCACCTTTCTTCCTAAAAGACATGGTATATCCCTACACACAATATATTCACAAATGATGATTTGGTTTTTAGGCCACATGAAGAAAGGGGTTATAGTCAGATGATGAAATAACTATATTCGTTAAAAACAAAACCAAACTTTGAGCACAAACAGTTCTGCTTCAGGGTGCAAGGGTGCACCCTGAAGGGTGCAGGTGACAAAACAGAGCATGGAGGTGGGCAAAGGGTCAGCTCCACCACCATCTCACACATATGGCTATCAGAGACCACAGACGCATCATCCACAGAGAGAGGGACTGGGTGCCACCAAAATGTGGCCCTGCCTGGAAGGACAGCCTTCCTCGTACAGCAGGAAGGAAAGGGACTGGGATGAGGGATGACAAGGAGCACAACTGTTTACAGGGCATATAAAACACTGGAGACTCTCAGAAATAAAGGGAGGAGGTTGGAACAGGAAGAGAAAGAGGGAGAACGGGAGAGACCGAGGTGCCACAGTCACACAAAGGGGGGTCAATGCACACTGCAGTTAGGATAGACAACACCGTTAATGGGGACCTCATTTGTATTCATTGGCTTTGAGGGATCAAGTGACATTCATATTCAAGCAGTGACATTTTACAATATACATTAATGTTTGCACTTCATAACATATTTATCATAACAGATTTTTTTAAAAGATTTTATTTATTTATTTGAGAGAGAGAGACTGAGAGAGAGAGAGCATGAGAGGGGGGAGGGTCGGGAGGGTCAGAGGGAGAAGCAGACTCCCTGCTCAGCAGGGAGCCTGATGTGGGACTCGATCCCGGGACTCCAGGATCATGACCTGAGCCGAAGGCAGTCACTTAACCAACTGAGCCATCCAGGCGCCCCTATCATAACAGATTTTAAAGTTCTGCCTGAAATATAGTAATAGTGTAGTAGCATTCTTCTTTTCCTTCATTCTGTTTTTACAGAAGAAACAGTTTTATTATCCATGTCAGATACTTTTGCCTGATATTTTCAGGAAAAGCTCTGACATGCTACTAAAAAAAGCCCACATTGTTATTTTAACTTCCATAAATGTTTAGGTTAGTCAGACATTGCTCTGCTTCTAGAAATACATATATCTTAATGTAAAATGATCCTCCCAGGAATAAAAAATTGCCAGGAAAGCATACTAAGTGACATGATGCTCACAAGGCTGGTATCTCTGAGAAAAGGCCTCGGAAGAATCTGACAAATTACTGTCAGGTAGTACATTTAAGAAACACTCACTAAAAGACAGCATTAGAATCGAATTCCTTGACGCTGCTGGAGTCCATTTTTAAAGCAAGTGATTCAAGCTTTCAGGTTATTTCATATGCATATCATGCTTTTGCTAAAATTTATTCATCAC